AATCCCTTGTTACGAAGAGTTATTGGGAACGAACCGCTAGATGTCTAAGCGAGAGTGTCAATCTCGAACCGAACGATTAATTGCCTGGTTTTGATAGAACTTGAATTAATTGTCCCCGACTCCCTAGCTTCTCCATCTTTATTTCATTTATCTTTTTAGGTAGTTTCATGCTTTTTATTATTTCGTAGTAGATAGTTATTCAAACCCTTTATATGATTAGCATGTTTAGGATTTATTTCGCTTTTTCGTGCTATCGATATCAAAGCTAAATTCCGAACAGCCTTCCTCGTGAGATCGACCCGGGGAACGAATCTTTCGATTCGGTACTCGGTAAAAAGAATAATTTGTATACAACAAATTTGGCGCCATTGCCGGGGAAGGCAAGTAGGATATTTGGTTTTGGTATTGATTTTATTTTCTGTGTTTCTCTTTATTTTGTGATTTTGTGTTTTTGTTCTTCCTTTTGTGCTTCTTTGCTTTCTTTTTGTCTATTTCGTTTTTGTTTTCTTTGTTTTCTCTTTTTCGTGGCTACGCGTGGTTATTCTATTTTGGTGTGCAGGAGATATGAACTTCAACCGTGCTTTTCCTTATCCGCACACCGAACCTTGGGGTTACGAGCCGAGTACCACAACCAGTCATATCCGGGTACCACAACCAGTCATATCCGTACTCTTCCGAGCATTGCTGGGATCCTTACACAGTCGAGCAACCTTGTGAGTCCCACGAGTTTGACGAGAAGCTCGACCGTATCTATGTTTTCGCAGCATCCCGGTTAGCTCAGGAAGAAGAGACTGCAGCCCGGTGTGCCCGTCCGAACCAGCCACCTTCTTACCATGATTCTTGGGACTTCGGCCAGACCTTATCATATCCTTACGAGCATCAGCGGGATTCCTGGCCCGTTGAGCATCCATATGAGTCCCTCGAGGATTCCTCATAGTACAATGCCAAGCTCGACCAGGTCCTCATTTTTAGCATCTCAAGCGGCTCGTAGGAGCAACCTTGAGTCCAGAATCGAGGAACTTGTAGAGCGCGTGCAAGCCTTAGAAGATCGAGCTACCAATTTCTCCCCCAAGATCACCGCTCAAGGCGAACCTATATACAGTAATGAACCTCGGGAGGTTGCTCTGACATACGATGAAAAGCTCGACCTCATCCTTGCTCGCATAGCTGCCCAGACCACTCGAGATGTGGAGATTGAGCTCGGGTGTGCTCGACTGAGCATACAAATGGAGATTCTTACAGCACATATCGACTCAATCGAGGTAAAAGTTGCTGACCCCCACCTCATGCTTGATACTCAAGCCCGTACGATGAAGCGAATATGTGAGGTCGAAGAAGAAGATGATGCGCTCCAGCGAGACGTTGACGTTATTTGAGATGAGGAGACTCACGGGCTTGATTCTCAAGTCCCTTCCCCCGCATCCGAGTTGGAGCATCCTTCTTTGAAGCCGTTGCACTGTGTTATGAAGTGGGGAGTATTCAGTTCGACTTGCTCCACAGATGAGCTTATACTTCTGGAGGTCGACGACAGAGCTCGTGTGGGAAAATCTCTGCGTTTAGAGTTGGAGATTGCTCGTGCCCGAGCCTGCTTCAAGAAGAACATCGCCACCCGAATCCACTATGCCAACCTTCTCGCCAAGCTTCCCATGCTACCACTTCTGGAAAACACGAAGGCGTGGCACGACCGTCACTTCTTCCTAGATCCCGGCTGAGTCCCCTTCAGGTTTTGTCAAGCTAATGACGTTAAACAAGCGCTTCTTGGGAGGCAACCCATGTGATTTACTGCTTTTTTAGATATTTTTCTTTTCGCATTTTAGTTTTATCTTGGAATAATGGGAGTTTGGAGTTTCGTGATTTTCTTATTGGC